TTCTTCTCCAGATCTTGACATAAATGGTGAAAACAGCTAAAATCTGGGCTTCAACTCATTCTCTTTATTTGATCTCATTTTCTGGTTCTTTTCTCCAAAGGGTGGGTGTAATGCAGTTTTTCCCCCTTTATCAATGCTGCTAAAAATCCCTGGCAGTGGAGGGAAATCTAGAACATGTGCATTTTTTTTTCTTCTGTATTACATCTACTTATCACTGAAGTGAGTCAGTTTCTTTTGCAGTAAATAATCTATTTTTAAATCAGCCAAGCCAGCATTGCCATTGCATTCTGCTAAGTGCTTTATTGATCCATTAATTTATCATTTATTAACTGAAAATTCAGATATCAGGATTCTCAGTGAGTCTTCAGCATCACATTACAAATAATTCTTGTTTTTGCAAAGACTGGACTTAGTCCCCATGCTCTTTGAAAGGGCAAACTGGGATTTCATGTGTAGGTAACTATCATAAAGCTAGTGATTGCTTTTGTGCTAGGATTAGAGAAAGGAGAGGTGTTTCCCGAAGGCATTATGTCTATGTCAGATGACTGATTGCTTTACAGAACAAGGATAGCAGTAAGGTGGTGGGAGCTAGCACCAGGCATTTTTGTGAAGTACACATGCTTACGTATGCAATTAATTTATTTTAGATAAATTAAATTTTTGTTGGTTAAATTTTTGCTCATTATTAAAAGTAATACATAGTTATTATAAAAGTTTGGAAATTACCCAAAAGTAGAAAATCCAAATTATTTAAAATTTCATCACCCAGATATATAGTACCTGCTTTTTAGGGGGGTTTTTGTGTGCGTGTGTCTTGAATAATTTGCTTTAGAAAAATCATTTTATTGTGTATCCCATTAGAATTGGGATCAAGAAAACGGATTACCTCTTATTCATAAGTAAAGTAGAAGGAAAATTGACACAAGTAATCCACAACTGTAGCTAAATAAAAAGTAATACTGCATTGTTGCCTGTCCAGACCTTCCTCAGGTCTTCCCTCCTCTTTTTTTTCTTCTCCCCCCAAAGTCTTCTTTCCCAGCCTCCTCCCCTTCCCTACTTTTATTCAAGGAAGATTCACCCTCTTCATGATGTTACGTCTCTAGAATTTCTCACACTAGTTCACCAATCTCTCCTATTGCAGCAAAGTTATGAGCATGTTTGTCCAGAACAATCTTAAAGTGTCAGCCACAAATTCAAAATTTCTTTGCATTCTCCTGATTTATCTTTAAGGTTCATATGAATTTTGCTTTCTAACTTTGTGTTTATTGTATTATAAAATATATTAAATGTCTTACCTCTGCGTAAAATTCTTCAGGAAGCTGTGGATTCATCAGGTGACTTTAAACCCCCTCTAGCGGGTGGCTGCATCCCCTGGGGCATCCCTAGAGGGGAAGTGTCAGAATCATCTGAAAAGTTTTTTCACAATTTGTTCTACCCCTTTTTCAGCTTGAGAATTACTGCCACAGTGAGCTCCTGTTCTGGTTGGAAAGTGCTTTGTTCCTCAGTTTCATTGGGGTAAAAAAAGATGAGGGATCACAAGTTTTATATTTATATATCTATGTAATTTATAAGGTGACTAATTTATATTGTTCTCAAATCTATTTGAATGAGTAACTGAATTGGAGGGTTTTTTTGTTTTGTTTTATTATTTCTTTTAGTGAACTCAGTCCTCACCGCCCACCCCCACCAAGAGTCCTTGACTTATCCTGTTTCTACACATCGAAGATTAGGATTTAGAGCCCCACCTTGTTCCTGAATTGGAAAATTATTTTACTACATTAGGAATGCTTTGTCCTTTAAAGTATCAGCAGAGCTGTATCTAGTCTGACCTCAGTGCTTTGAGCTTTCCTTCTGTTTCTTTTGTTCTCTGCCTTCCATCCTTCTGCCTCCTGCTGCTGATCTCTAGAATCACCATCATAGTGACAAACTGAGGCTCAGTGGAATGTACTACATTCTTATTTGAGGCCCAATGGCATATGCTATATTTTCTAAGACATATAATACTATAATAATTATAAGAAAATAATTCTATGATAAAAGGACATCTTGCATAAACACTGTTTAGGATTATTCCTATTACAGCCCAGTACAGGCAGAGCATTTAGCACTAGTGGTGTAAGTACTCACACAGCAAGGCAGGTGTTGCCTCCTGGGTAGGAACTCCACCTTTCAGGAAGCATACATCTTGTTCTATGAGAACCTCGATTTCCAGAGTTAGGAGAGAGATCAAAGGTCTGCAACTTCAGTTCCTATGTGCTGAGTCTCAATCTGTCTTCCTTCTCTTTTGTGTTTTCTACAGCCCTTTACCTCTGAAAATTTGGGGAAGTCTAAGCTATAACATAGTTAACAACAAAAATATGACCAAAATAAAAATTCTCAGGTTTTATAACTGTCTTTTCCAATTCCTTTTATCTTTTTAGTTTCCTTTTGTACATTTATCATTTTTTTTTTAGGACTTAAAGGTAGGGTTATGGAAATCTTTCAGTAAATATTATTAATCACAAACATTTATTCTTAAAATGATTTTGGAGTGACTAAAGATTTTGTGCTCACAATTCCAACATGGTTAGTTTTGTATGTTTTCCCCCCACACCACCAAGCAATTCTCTGATACCAGCTGGGTGTCCTACAATTCAAATCATTTCTGACACTATCTACCCAGAGATAGCTAGCATCAGATTCCACAGGTTAAGGACTCAGCCCCGCAAGACTGTCCTCCACTTCAGATGCCAGTTGCAAGTCCTGGTTGTCACCTGTCTTTCTGATGGACTGGCTGTCTATAAATCAGAGGTTCCCACAACCCCCTCCTTGGGTTCAAATAATTTGCTAGAACAGTTCTAGGACTCAGCAAACTAATTTTATCACTAGATGACTGGTTTATTCCAAAGGATATAACTCAGGAACACCAAATGGAAGAGATGCATAGGGCAAGGCATGGGGAAGGGGTGCAGAGCTTCTAAGCCCTCTGTGAGGGTACCACCACGTGTTTACCACTCCAGAAGCTCTCAGAACCCTGTCATTTTGGGGTTTTGTGGAGGCTTCATTTCATAGGCATAATTGATTAAGTCATTGAGCATTAGTGATTGATTCAACCTCTAGCCCTCTCTTCCCTCTAGAGACCAGAAAGGTGAGACTGAAAGTTCCAATCCTCTAATCACAGGGTGGGTTCTTCTGGTGACCACCCCTCACCCTTAGGTGCTTTCCAAAAGTCACCTCATTAACATAAACCCAGTTGTGGTGGAAAGCGGCTTGTTAAGAATAACAAGACACTCATCTCACCTCTATGGCTCTGAAGTGATATCAGGAATGGAGGACCAGACCTAATATTAGAACCAAAGATTCTTCCATTGCACTTATCTCTCAGGAAATTCTAAGGGTTTTGGGAGCTTAACGCCAGGAACCATGGACAAAGACCAAATATATATGAGGACTATATTTTGGTCATTTGAGTTACCAAATATATATTTCTTACAGATCACAATATTGCGCTCATATATAAGGCATATGTTAGATACATAATGAGCAACATCAGACATGTACTGGCCTATTGGAGCTTACTGTTTGGGTGAGAGAGAGAGAGACAAATCAATTAAATAATCAGAGGTAATAATAAAACTGATAGCATTTGACCTTTTTCTTGTTGAGACTGCTCATTTGGCATCTAGAACACTACACATTTGGTTTCCCTGCCTCACTAGTCACTTCTTGTTTTCCATCGCTGAGTCCATCTAAATGTTGGAGTGCCCCAGGCCTTAGCCTTTGGGCATCTTTACTACCTACTTTCCTTAGATTATATCATTCAGTAGTATGGCTTTAAATACTACTTATTAATATCTATACACTGTTGACTATCAACATTGTATCTGTGTTCCTGTTCCTTCCTAAATGCCATAAAATTTTCAATATCCCAATTCTCAGACTCACTGTTTTTCATCTCAGTAAGTGGTAGCATTTACCCAGTGGCCCAGGACAGAAATATAAATTATTTCTTATTCTTTCTTTACTTTCCTAGCTTTCATCTAATCCATCAGCAAGTTCTGTTGGCTGTACAAATTATATCCAAATCTTACCACTTTTTATCACCTCCACTGTTACTGTGCTGGTTTAAATTCAGTAGCCTCCTAACTCACATCTGTTCCTAGCACCCTCATTCCTGCTCCCCTTTCTGGCATCTATTGTCGACTTAATAGGCAGAGGAATCTTTTTAAAGCCTAAAACAGACCTTCACAAAATCCTTCAGTGAGGAAGTGCTGATTCCAGGTCTGGGATGGGAAATGTACAAGATGAATCTCTAAGGATGGGATACTAATAGATACAGAGCAAGAGAAATGAGAAGAGAATAAGGCTCTAATCATAAAACTGAAAATGGTACATACTGTCAGAAACAGTAAAGGAAGGTCTTTGGGAGATTTTTCTCAAGATGACATCAGACTTTTGGAATTTAAAGGCCAAAAAAAGCTGAAATTATATATACTATATATCAAATAATAGGGCAGATTTCTTTTTGATAATTGTGTACACACACACAAACTAAGAAATTTTCAAACCCACAAAAAAAACTGGAAAAAAACACAATGAACTTCTGTATACTCCTTAACCTAGACATATCAGCTATTAACACTGGTCACTTATTTAGTTGAACCATATAGAAATGCCCCTTTTGACCAAAAAAAAAAATCACATAGATGATTGAAACTGAATACTCAAATATACATACAACACACATTTCCTGATGCTAAAGGTTTTAGATATGACACTTCACTATATGTCTTCCAGGGACAAAGACATTCTACTGTGTCACTACAAACCAGTGCCTCAACCAAGAAAAATCAGTATTAATTCAGTATCATCATCCACATACAGTCCTTATTCAAATTCCCTTCTTTATGTCATCGGGTTTTAAAAAATATCTACAAAACTAATTTATGAGTCTGGGGTGCTTAAAGAATAAAGTGACTGTTTACTATTGGCTTACTCTAGTTTTTTTCTTTGTGGTTTAGCTTCTTACATCCGTGTTTGACAACAGCATCAAAACCTTTGGAGTATTTGAGAGTGACCCTTTTGACTGGGAGAAGACTGGAACTGATGGCTCTCTAACAACCACCACTACTTCTACCACCCCTCAGCTGCACACCCGCTTGACCCCTGCAGCAATTGGGTATGTCCTCAGCAGCCCATTTAGCAGTCTTTCCTGGATGCGTTATATTGGCAGAAATGTTTTCATCCAGATTCCCTCAGATGACCAAATGCTAAGACATAGGTGGAAGCCTGTGGCTTTTCTTGAATTGACATTGCTCTTGTATATGCCTTTGTTCAGATTTACTGTTCTTAGAAAGTGTTTATAAATCATACTGTGAAATGGGAGCTTAGAGCTTGTGTGACTTGATGTGAGATTTACAGTGGGTTTTCTCATTTAAGCATTTGTTGCATTTACTTCTAAAGAATACATGGGACTCTGGACAGAATGAGCCACAATGATATCTAATTATACTGTGCTTAAGTTTAGTGGGAACAAAACATGTGTTTTGTTCCTCTTAAGAGTGATTTAATTTTCAAAGTGTAATATTAGTAACAGGTTATAGTATATTTCCATCTTCTTGGTTTTTTGAGTTTATTGTTTTTTCTACGTGCATAAATAGTTGCTTTGGGGGAGGCAGGTTGTCTTCTTTTTCTGACCCATTTTTTACCTGCTCTGATTGCTTCAAACTGTTTGGTTTTATTTATTTATTTATTTATTTATTTATTGATAGCATACTTATCGTTATTGTTGAAAGTATTACTGATGTCCCCTTCTTTTCCCCCATTGACTCCCTCCACCCAGC